GGGGCTGGACTATTGAACAATGCAACTAAGCTGTCCCGGTTATTGGCTCCAGAGAGATGAGTGCATGGTTGACTCAAGCGGGTGCCGAACTAGGATCTGCACGTGGAAAGCGGCACCATTTCCCACTACTCCACCTCCGCCTATTTCATGAAATTGTCAGTATCCAACCAGAACCCCTTTCAGCGCAGGTTCATCTGATTGTAGGTGTTCGGAGTGAGCTAGAGATCGTGATGAATGGAGCTCTAGGGGTTCCTCACGTTTATCAAACGAAGTCTCAAAGTGTGGCCCACGATATCCAGGAAGCCCAGATGCGAAATGGGAACTGTATTCTTGGGAGTGGTAAGGGTTCAAGAACCCACAAAGCCGCCCTGGAACCCATTGCATTACCTTCGAAAACGTGGTAGAGAAGTGTTTCTGAATATTGTTAGAAAGGTTAAGCGGGCTTACCTAGAAATCATAGTACCTCTGTGCTCTTCTACCTCTTTGTAAAGCACAGTTATCGATTCCGAGGGTGATTCATCGTCTTGCACGGTAGAACTGAAACGGGAAATTTCTCGAGAATCCGGTTCCATATTACCTTTTACGTGCAGTCGATATCATTCGACTATTCTACTGCGACTTTGACCATGTCGGCCAGGTTTTTTCTCCTTTTCTAATTGCTTTTTCCGAATCCCCTCAAAACGCTGTGCTTTTGGCACCATGGACAAGATCCGAAGGTATCGAAATTTTATTTTTTATCGCCTGCACTGTGAGAGGAGAGATTTCGGGAATGAGTCAGACTTCTCCTAATATTTCCGCCTCCTTGTTATCTTCTTTGAGATAGTCCATGGAGAGAGGCCGATAACCCCTCCCTCCTGATCAGTAAAAAATTTCTATACGAAAGCGGCATTGAGATTGCACGCTATGAATCATATTGTATAGACGATGACGTGCGCTAAAGAAAATTCTACCACATGGTGTTGAAAATCGTCACGAGCTTCCTCCCTTTACTTCAAAATTCATTCACTCTCAAAAACTAGTTTTTAGAATTTTTATTCTTTTGTTCTTTTGGGTTGTCTAGTGAATGAATTGACCCTTAAGCGACAATTCGTTTTTCCCGACGCCATTGCGACCTAAGTGCTAGCATTTCTGAAAGAATGCAGTCTGCCTAGCAAAGTTTCATTGTTTTGCTCTTGGGACAATTGACCCTAAAAATGTCATGCCTAAGGACAATTTTACTTTGCCACCATTCTTTTTTGTTGCCTCATCAGTAAAGTAATCTGGTCCTTGCAGATTGATCTTTGTCTTTCCGCATCTTTTTTATGCATAATTCCGCAACAAAATCGATTCTTGCAACTCAGCATTCCTCGGAGATTGGTCGATGTATGCAAAACCAGCTATTTCCTCAGCCTAATAATGAAAGTAGACGGGAGCAGGGTTTGTGTGGAGCCTGCTTTGAAGTCTAACGGGAGCGAATTTTGTTCTTCAGAGAAGTATTTCATCCCTATGGGGCCTACTAATTACCCCTGAGCCAGATGAAATGATTACTCTCCACTCTGCAATATTGGAGTGGAAAATGAATGGCGTGCAATCGCCAGTGAGTTGTTAGTGCAAATCGCCCGATCCAGCTTCCTGCTGATCCGTATTAAAAAATTGAATCGCCTTAACCTACCAGGTACAAGGTGCTGCGGCAGGCAGGGCACATCGTGAGTTGTAGATCCCGAGCGAGGGGGCCGTATTGGATCATAGGAGGTAGGCGGGGGAGGGGTCACATTTGCCCACGACAAAATGTTCTCAGTCGTTGACTTTTCGCGGTTTTTCCTCTTTCAAGCGCTGTCTCTACTTGACGGCCATTTTTCGTAGAGAATGGAGGGATTCTTGGAAAACTCAGGAAAGCAGGAAGTTGGTTGGTAAGATGAGGGACGTGGGGCGGGCACTGGGGAGGAGGGAAGAAGTACCAGAGGAGGAAGCTGGTGAGGTTCGTACTTCGCGGGAGGGTCGTATTTTGCACAAACTTTCCTCAACGGCAGGACGTGCCCTTTGCCAGGTGACTTGACTACCATTCAAACGGTATGAGGCATATTTTCTTCCCGTTGGCCTCTGCGAACACCGCCTAGCCATCAAGTTATTCCATTCTTCCCGAGCCCGCTGAATAGGGTTTGTTCTGAACCCTTTAATACAGCCACCTGTAGCAATTTTGCCCTCGTAGCACTGCAATATTCTCCTATTTTTAAGCCCACATTATGCTCTAGGAACCCAGAAATGCAGCAGGTTTGCCGTGAGAAGTACCGTACATTGACGCGAACAGATCGGCACATTTTGCATGCAGCTAAACCAGTCTGATCTTTTTTTTGCCAAATGGCAGTCATTTTTAACGTGCCTAACCTTCTCTCTCAACTATAGTTTCTAATTGCCCCTAATGTTTTTCAACGAGTAAAAATGATGCTAGGAGGCTGGTCCCGAAAGAGGATTCCACACCAGTAGAACCCTGATAAATGTTTTCAATTAAAGCACGTTTTTTTTTTGTTCTCGGGATAACTTGGTGCAGATGACTGAAGCGTGGGGGAGGATGTGTGGGTAGGGGGGGGTGATCAGTTGTGTCATGAATGTGCCACGTGTTTGTAAGAATGACGTCAACCTAAGCATTCCATTTTGCTTGAATTACTCTGGCTTACCGGGTCTTCTAACCTTATATCAACCCCTTTCAAGCCCCGCAACTTCCACATACTCCTCTTTCCCAATAATGCTTCCACTGTATAGTTGGCCAATTTTTTTGTGAGGGAGATCCGCGGTGTGGCGATACAGTGAAAGAAGCACCGCAAGTGGCGCTATTTTGTACCCTAGACTAACAATAAGTGATTTGTCGATGTAATGCTGCAGCATTTCGAGTCAACTAGCTAAGAAATTCTCTATCAGTTTCGGCACCAATTCGAACCTCCCGTTTCTTGGGTCCACCGATATCCGTCTCGACCGTTCACTTTGCTTGTCCGACCCCATTTCAGTTTTTTGTCATCGTTGAACTCAGCAGGTTTAACGACGACATGGGGCCGGCTCGGTCTCATTTCCCCCACTCCGATTTGCTTCACATCCCAAAGTACCGGTCGAGCCATGCCCCTTCTCTACTGCATTTCATTTCTGCTTTGTTTATTTTCATTTCGACGTTTACATTTCATCACGCAGAGCAGTACACGTCGTAATATTCAAATGCAGGTGCGATTTCAGTTTGACGCGGTTGCTCTCGCGCCTTTCGGGCGCCATGGCGCCTGCGCCACCGCGTGCTCACGATCCGGCCAATGGCACTGCACCACCAGACACCACACCGGCTGCTTCGGAGAAGTTCGTCAACGGCAACATGCTCGGCACTACGGAATCGCCTCTCAGCAGGTGCAGTGTTTGTGTTTTGGTCTAAGCTCTGAGATTTTCCTTTATGAGTTTCTGCTTCGAATAAGCACAATTGAGTTTTTCTATTCTTTCCGATGCCGCTAATAAAAAGGCCGGCAGTTCGGCGACGGGGGGGGGGTGCATTCTGCACCTTCGCTGCTTCTTTAGTTCCGGTTTAAAAGCCTCACTCTTGTGAACCTGTGAACTCTTGGGAAGGTTACGCAGCCGCTGGAGCCACCGATGGCAAACTGTCAGCTCTTGTAAGCTCATGAAATAGCTCGACACGTTGATGGAAAGTAGCGAAGTGGAAAATGCCCCCCCCCTCTTTCCGTCGTCGTCGACGACGAACTGGCTGTTGCAAATGTTTTCTTTTCTATTTGTATATTGGCACTCATTTGCACCGAGTACCATTCCTCTCCCTCGTGCCTGTAGAACTGCTGCTTCTTCTAAAGCAATGAGGCCGATTTTTTCGCTTGTAAGTGAAAATTTCCGTGCATAAAGTAAGTTGAGAAGTATGAAGGCAGGACAAAAAAGGGAGTACAGAGTAACACCAGGGAGGGGAATCGTATTAGGCAAGAAAATGTTCGAAAGTGATGCGCCATTCCTGCGCCGTATGCTCATGTAAGTGCTCACAGCAACGGTTCTTACTTAGAGGCGTTTTCAACGTCCTGATTTTGCTCTTTTCCCTCATCAGTATCCCCCCACTTGGCCAAGTGATCTGTCTAGTATCCCCCGAGTGGGAAGGGCACCGGACAGTTCATTTGTACTTGGCTGCATTTTTCGGTGGACTTTTCCCATTCAAAACAACGCCAATCGTTTCTTTGTGCTGGTCAATGCATGATTACCACCCTGTCCCAAAAAGCGAAAGATATTCTAAGTCTCGAAACGAGGCCCGTTCCGTTGGCAGGTTGGTGAACGGCCCTGCCACCCATGCCGTTTCGCCATCCTTGCAGAATCGACGGAGAGGCGATATTGCGTTATTTGCCCCACACGCTGCCAACAGCGTTTTTGCGGGCAATTTGTCAGACAACATAAAAGTTTGTCAGCGATTTTCATGAGCCCGTCCTGATCCGGTTCCAGAATCATGCGAAGAACTTGGAGTGAAGGAGAAGAACTTCTGGAATCTCCTCTAAATTGTCGTTAGTTTAGCCGCTCAGGTGACCGGCGCCACTGTCATTATCGTTGATCGCGCGCAGATTAATTCGCGGTCAACTGGCGACAGAACTGCTCAGCGAGGCACTTTTTAGTTCGGGCACCACGACGACGACGCCGATGTTGACGGACAGTCAGCGATCGCGCGATGGCGATACTGGCATGAACAAGGTCGCTCCGAAGTTTTTCACTGTACGCCGTTTTGTCTTCTTCTGCGCGTTGACCGACTCGGCTCAGAGCAAGGACGAGTCGGTTCCTTGACCTCATAGATATATCTATGCGAGGCGCCTGCAAAAGCGCAACTAATCGACGAATATTGCTGGAGACGTATCGTAATGGTCAAGGGGGGGGGGGAGGGGGGAAGCGGAACACAAACTTAGAGCCTGAAATACGAAGTTATTGGAAAAGCCATGATGTAACCTCGTCATCCGGGCAGTTGATTAGGGCGGTCGTCAACGGGCCGCAGCGCGTGCCAGGAACTATTTGCTTTTCCAGGCTAATTTAGTCATTTTTTCCACCTTGTGAAGATAAGGAGCTGCTAATCTGGGAAAAAGTAGCCAAAACAGTGAAAAGTTGGAAAAAATGACTAAATTAGCCTGGAAAAAGCAAATAGTTCCTGGCACGCGCTGCGGCCCGTTGACGACCGCCCTAATCAACTGCCCGGATGACCGAGGTAACTAAACCTGCATGGAAGAAACGAAAGTATCGCGGTGGCTCTGAGTCTGTGAAGGCAGAAGCAAAAAGCATCGGAATGCGGAAATCAGACTTACAGATGGCCTTCCGGCCCAACGTAAAATAGGTAACGCACTCATTGGTGCCAAATTCAGCCTGTCCGGGTCCGTGTGAGCCAGTGCTTGTTTCGCCTTCCGTTAACATTACACTGCTCAGCAGCACAACTCAATTTTTTTGGTATTGATACTGATCTGAACTATACTGTATTTGATGGTGAATCTTTACAGGGCAATGAAAAGTAGGGCGTTGTTTGGCTTGGGGGGGACGTCGCGTCTCGCACATTTGCTGACTTCTTCTGCTGGTTCATGTTTTTAACAGGTCTCACTTGGGTGACACCTGTGAGCTCTTGTTAAACTTACGGAATCGTACATGTGAGCTACTTTCGTCACAGAGAATTTACGAGTCTTCACAGGTGCTCTGTACAAGCCTCTGTGAGTACCACTCTGTCCCCACCAGGCCGACCTGTGCCAAAACCCGTTCCCAAGCTCTTGCGCCAAATGTGTTACAAGTTGGATTCTCCCTGGAATCATGCTTCCTATTGTAAGCCAGACTGGATCGAGTTCTCACTAAGGTGGAGCACAGGAAGGAAGGGTTACGCAGAATGAGCAGGATATCCTTGGCATGAGGAGTATCTGAGGAATCTACCATCTTTACTCATGAAACAGAAGTTATTTTGTCCAGTAGTTGGAAGGATTTTCTGGCCCATTCACCGTTGATCCACTTACCCTTCGTTGGCATTGAACAGAATCAGTAAGTGATTACTCCTAGAGTTAGCTCTTTTTCCTTGGCTCTGATTTTTTGATAGGAGTAGAAATCAGGAAAAAATGCCATATTAACCTGAAATTTGCTTTTCACCGTTTTGTCCCTTTGTCGATTTTTCTCAAAGTTCTCAAACTATTTTGTCATGAAATCCTCGAAAGTCATTGATTTCAGCGACTCTAGTCAGAATCTCTATGCTTCCGTGGATAGTATTGATGACGGTGGATCGCAAAACATCTATGCTCCTCAGGTACGTAACCCTTCTCCTTTTGCTTTGAGGGCCAGACATAGCTAGCCATACTTTCGAGACGCCGCACTAGTTGGCCCCACATTTGTTAAGGATTTTGAGTGATGTTCGGCCTTGAGGAAGTACTTAGCTCTTCAACTAGTTCCTTTTGCTCGTTCCTGTCAATTAACGGGTTTAACTTCCATGATACCGGTAAACTCTTATGAAACTACGAAGTGACACAAGAGCGACTTCAGATACAGGAGTTAACAGGTCTCTACAAGGTGGCCTGTGGATGCCTCGCTTAGTATACTTGGTGCCCCCACCGAGCCGAACCGAGCCAATAGTCACCACAACTACGGCTTAGGCGATGGGTTTCACCTACCTAACATCCC